AACATGAATCATGAATCAAACTTGAAACTCCAAACTTCAAACTTATAAACCCAGAATATTCATGTTAGGTTACATCGAAGCCCTAGTTATGAAATTAGCTGCTCATAATGGAAAAGAAACTTAGATAGAAATGAGAAAACATAAGGAATGCAATAAGAGTAGAAAAACCCATTTTCTGAAGTTCTTGTGGTGTCCAAGACTTCTTCAAGTGCTTCTCCACATCTAATGTTTCTCCAAGAGCTTCCCTACGTCTAGAATGATGTATGACAGCTAGTAAGTGTATGATGATGATTTCTGGATGTGTTGATGGAATGATGGAAGTGTGGAGGATGGCTGAAGTGAATTTTGTAGCTTGAAGACTTCTCTATTTATAGGGCTAAGTGGGAGGAACATCATGATGAAATCCAACACCACCATTCCTCCTTTAATACAATCCATAACTCCCACTTTATCTTGTCTATTTTAGTGTGGTTGGAATCAATCCCATCCCATACTTATTTTGCTGCACCTCAAGCTTTCTTCACATGGGTGATCAAAGGTGTTCAATTGTGGCTGCCTTTTGCTGCCAACCCATGTGGGTTTTCTTTTGGTTGCTGTAAATAAAAGATTCTTCTGAACCAGGCTTGGTGTAGGAAGGCCTGAGGTTTCAATATGTATCCAATGGGGCTCAAATTTAGATATGTCATAATAGACACCTATTGGAACAACTTGTATGAAGAATGCATTCCCATCTGAGCAGTACAAGTGTACGTTTTGGGCCTTGCAAGTTGACTGTCGAAAAATAGACTGGAATGTATGGTGTGCATTTTGATGAGCCCACGGATTGGGCTTGACTTCATCAATTGATACGTTTTAGTAGTCCATCTTGCAGTTCAGAATCTCTTCTTTCCAACCACATATAAATTGGGCCAATACAAGTTGGGAGGAGGAAGTTAAGGGCAAAACAAATTGCTAACTCAGTCTGCTCGTTTTTGCACCATTTTGCATCTTTTCCTATCCAAAGCCACCATTGCTACCTAAGGCCCAATGAACTGAATGATAAACAGAAAAGGGATTAAAAGCACAAGTTTAACTCAATAACATAACCAAATCATAAGCTAGAGGGGTGCAAACTGAAATACAATTAAGAACTGATCAGTGTCAAAACACACAAAATCACCAAATTGACCATAATCAACAATCATCTTCGCATCGGCCCAAAATATATTCGTAATTTGCTCATCACAATCTAATTGCACAGCATAAAAAAATGAGGGGTTTTCCAATGCTTCATTCTCCATATGCCAATTTTCTTTGCCTCTTCGTCCGAAGGTAATTTTTTTGATCTTGTTTGATATATCCAAGAGATTCTCTTCCACCAACTTGCCTACCCATTAACTCATATGCCTGCCTAAGTGGAATCCCTGATTCTTCTGTCAAATCTACATCAGTAGCTTGTGAAGCAGATATTCTTCTATGAGACGGTAACATATGAGTGCATTCTTGTCTTACAAGAGGATGATTGTGGTATTCCATAAAATGGCTAACCCAATACTTACCATTGGATTTATTCAACTTAATGCTCATTTTAGCATTACAACATGTCCTTGTTTCTGCCCGAGAACTTTTAGTTAAATAATCTTGCTTATCTTTCGGTCGAAAACCCTCCTTGCAACAAACAAATACTCTTGAAATTATTTGACCAGTATTCTTATTCTTGTTCTGTGAATCTCTTCTAATATTGAATCCTGCTCTTCGCCCATACTCATTATAAAACTCATATGCAGCTTGTTCTGAAAGAAATTCCATATCACATATGGGTTTATAATCTAAATTATCTTCATAGATTGTAGCCACTGAATCTTTCATTCTCAGTCTATAAAACAAATATAATAATGTTAATCTATCATACAATGATAATAGTCAAATTTATATTCACAAATTAAAAATGAAGGATGTAGGTAGATATACCAAAACATTAATTGAAATATTCAAAGCTTCACACATAGAAAACCAATTAGATAGTCTGAATGGGAAAGAGGGAAATTTCGAATTGTTGCAGACATAGGAACCAAAAAAGAAAAGGAAAAAAAGAAAGAAGCAAAGCTTACAACAGGGACCAATAAATGAAAGCATATGTAGGATGAACCAATAAATAAGAGTATGTATCAGGGATAAAAGAAAACGAACAGCACGCAAAATAATCCTACTTACTTTATGGGATCAAGTTCACGTCTTCACAGTAGCCTTGCCAATATATTCACACTAACCAAAGCTAAGGTAATATGAATATGAACGTAAATAAAGAGAAGAGGACAAAACCTGAAGCAAGAAGGAGAAGAGGACAAAACCTGAAGCAAGAAGGAGAAGAGGACAGAACCTGAAGCAAGAAGGAGAAAAAGAAAAAGAAAAAAGAGGAGGACAGAACGAAGAAGAAGAAGAAGAAAAAAAAGAGCTTTGGGCGTTAACTACTGAATAAAGAGAAGAGGACAGAACCTGAAGCAAAAAGGAGAAAAAAAAAAAAGAAAAAAAGAGGAGGACAAAACGAAGAAGAAGAAGAACAAACATAAAGAGCTTTGGACGTTAACTACTGTTAGTTGGGTGTTAGGGTTTTTTTATTCTTTTTTAATTAGGAGTAAATTGAGTTTTTGTTTTAAGATGATGTGTCAACTTTTAAATCTGTTAGATTAAATTTTAATGATGTGGCGTATGGAGAACAAAAGTATAGCAGATCATGGTAGAGAAAATCAGATCAGAGGATCCGAATCCATTGAAGAAAAGCATTGTCAAATTCACAATATTTCATTCCAATTTGCAAATTGGTTTTGATAGTGTAATTGGTATCTAGGTTTTATGTAATTACTTTGAGCAAAACATAATTTTTTAAAATAAAAGTTCATATTGATATTCCCAACTCTAATTTTCTTGCCAGCCTGTAATTAGCACCGTAATATCAGAGTCCTAATCCTTGTGGGTTAAAAATAAAAAGTTTCTAAATTCAAACGCGTTTTGAACTAGCACTAGTTGTAGTTTTCCAACTGTTATTTAGTAGCTTGGCGTCCAAGTCTCAGATCAAGGAAACCCCACCGACTTTATCCCCTTATAAAACCCCAAATTCACCTTCCTTTCATCTCACTGTTATTGCAGGCGTAATCATGAAGTGAACTGGGTAAGAGGAGAGCTGATCGGAAGAGGAAGATATGGGTCTGTTCATCTTGCCACTTCCACGAAACCCATCACACAATTTGACCCCGGAGAACATTCTGCTTGTGCCTACCACCACAAGTTGTGGAAGTACTAGTTTGGTGGCAAAGATAGCCGATTTCGGATTGGCTAAGAGAACAAAAGAAAAGATGGGTGGATCTGGATGTAAAGGCTCTCCTATGTATCTGTCTCCAGAAGCTTTGCTTGACAAGTTGCAGGATCAGCCCTCTGAAATTTGGTCTGTTGGTTGCGTTGTGCTTGAGATGCTCACTGGGAAGCCCCCATGGGATACGAGTTATTGTTGGAAGCCTCAGGATTTCCTGGACATGCTGGTTTTTTACTCTCCCAAGATTCCAGCTAAAATCTCAAAGGAGGGGAGGGATTTTCTAAAGATCTGCCCGGCCTCCAATCCCTGTAAAGGGTTAACTGCTGAAGAGTTCTTATCTCATCCGTTCTTTGCTCAGTCAATACCACCAGAAGAATGTAATGGAGCGTCACAATCTGATACTGCAAGTGTAACTTTGAGTTCAAGCAGTGAAGAAGTGACTGTGCTTTGATGTTATAAAGTGATCAGTTCAAGTTTGTAAGGGTAGAGACTGCACAAAATTTCTGTGTAATGATCCTAATTTCTGTCCTTTTATTGAAATAGAATTAATTACTGAGATATGATTCAAAAGTACAAAAATGATTAGCATTTGTAGCAGAGGGGATTTATTCAAGAAATAAATTTTTGGATTTGTTTGAATGTTTTCTAAGATCTCGATCTCTCTCTCTCTCTCTCTCTCTCTCTCTTCTACAGAAGTGAATGTTTAATGTGATAAATAATGTTGACAAACAGAGTAAAATCTGATAAATAATGCTGGAAACTAAGAATTGTTGGAATCCCACATCGGTGGGGTGAAAGAAAACAAATGGGTTTAAATAGAATTACCACACTCTAACTAATATCGAGGCCTTTTGTGGTAAAACTCCACACCTGATGGATTGGGCAGGTTGTAAAGTGGGAACAGTATCGGTGTTGTTAGAGTGGGACCCAACGGGCAGATCCAAAACTTCAATATGGTATCAGAGCCAAGGCCCGTACAAGCTAACGAAGCTTGTCACCAAGAAGGAGAAACAAGTCGGACTCTTAAAGGAAAAAAAAAAGAAAAAAAAGAAAAAGAAAAAAAAAGAAGCCAACGAAGCTTGAAAAGAGCCGACCTCTGAGTTCCATTGAAAACAAGTGGGCCCAACGAGAGCCGACCTCTGAGTTTCAATTGCCGATGTGTGGATCTTCACGTGTGAACCACTAAAAAGGGGTTACACGTGAGGGGGAGTGTTGGAATCCCACATCGGTGGGGTGAAAGAAAACAAATGGGTTTAAATAGAATTACCACACTCTAACTAATATCGAGGCCTTTTGTGGTAAAACTCCACACCTGATGGATTGGGCAGGTTGTAAAGTGGGAACAGTATCGGTGTTGTTAGAGTGGGACCCAACGGGCAGATCCAAAACTTCAATATGGTATTAGAGCCAAGGCCCGTACAAGCTAACGAAGCTTGTCACCAAGAAGGAGAAACAAGTCGGACTCTTAAAGGAAAAAAAAAAGAAAAAAAAGAAAAAGAAAAAAAAAGAAGCCAACGAAGCTTGAAAAGAGCCGACCTCTGAGTTCCATTGAAAACAAGTGGGCCCAACGAGAGCCGACCTCTGAGTTTCAATTGCCGATGTGTGGATCTTCACGTGTGAACCACTAAAAAGGGGTTACACGTGAGGGGGAGTGTTGGAATCCCACATCGGTGGGGTGAAAGAAAACAAATGGGTTTAAATAGAATTACCACACTCTAACTAATATCGAGGCCTTTTGTGGTAAAACTCCACACCTGATGGATTGGGCAGGTTGTAAAGTGGGAACAGTATCGGTGTTGTTAGAGTGGGACCCAACGGGCAGATCCAAAACTTCAATATGGTATTAGAGCCAAGGCCCGTACAAGCTAACGAAGCTTGTCACCAAGAAGGAGAAACAAGTCGGACTCTTAAAGGAAAAAAAAAAAGAAAAAAAAGAAAAAGAAAAAAAAAGAAGCCAACGAAGCTTGAAAAGAGCCGACCTCTGAGTTCCATTGAAAACAAGTGGGCCCAACGAGAGCCGACCTCTGAGTTTCAATTGCCGATGTGTGGATCTTCACGTGTGAACCACTAAAAAGGGGTTACACGTGAGGGGGAGTGTTGGAATCCCACATCGGTGGGGTGAAAGAAAACAAATGGGTTTAAATAGAATTACCACACTCTAACTAATATC